ACTCTGCGCTGTGAGAGATATGAATTTATTCATTAAAGACGATAGCTCTTTAATGCGCATAGAGGATGAGATGTGTTCACGTAACGTCACCAACCGTGTAGTACACATGGTAGATCGATGTAGGCGTGTGCCGTGGATCACGCGACCCTCGTTTACAATAAGCTCTCTTTGACGCACGACCAAATGAAACCCACGCATCTCTTGAAAGGATCTCTCTCGCGACGTTGGCGAAAAAAGCGGATTCTTTCAGACCTGCTCGCTCCATTCAGCAGGCCTTTAAACTTTCAACTGACCCGTTAGCAAAACGAGACGATCGACCGGTTTCTTCTACCGTATCTCGCTGATTCAGCCTCCTAGATTCAACTTTAACTTTTAAATGCTTATTTGATATCTATCGGGATCTTGAGTATGATCTGCGCATATGCATCGAGCGCGCATATACCTCTTACTAAGAATTTCTGGAATATCGTTGATCCATTTAGTCAAGAATTAACTTGGTCAATCGTATTAGAATATATGCTTAGGTGTAGTATTGGCCGGCACGTCATCACGTTTCCTAATCGGGGTATTATTTCATCGGCCTCGTAAAGATGAAGAACGTTTTGTTCTAGCGATGATGACGTCAGAATTTGCGAATCAACACTAACCATTATTTTTATGAATTCTACCGTGTTTTCTGTGTAATTCAATGACAAATCATAGATATATTCGAATCTTTAATGTAAATCCCTTGTGATTCAATTAATCATCGATATTCTATTTATATCATCGATATAGAAAGTTTATTCTATTTTATACCAAGGTATTACGTTACAGAGCTGTTTTCTCTTGTTTGGTCTCTCTCTCTCTCTCTCTCTCTCTCTCTCTCTCTCTCTCTCTCTCTCTCTCTCTCTCTCTCGCGTTTAATCACAACATTGCGTAACAACGAAGCAGAGCCCGGATTTATATAATTACTTTTTTGTTGAGATCGATGGGGTTTTGTTGTTGTGTAACGTGATATTCGAATTGAATGTTAAACCGTGATTTCCGTTTAATGATACGCGTAGAGTTCTCTCTCCTTCGTGCATCTGTGCTCGTGCGTGACGTGACAGGGTCAGCTTCGATTCCTGAAACAAATCGCGAAAACCTCGTTGGAGGAATCGTTGCGAGCCCGTTTTTCCCCTCGTTCTCTCGGCTTGCCGCGTTAATAGTATTTGCAACGACAAACAACGTCCTAGTATGGCTCTGATTCCATGCAATTGAGGTTGAATTACTATTTGCTCTCCGGCATTGCATAAGGGAATCTACACAGTATTCGCCGACTCGAATGGTAGAGTAGACTCGACAAAGCGTGTCGGTCAGGGTCGCGGGCATATTATCTCACGACTATTTTTGATTTCTAAAAATTGAATCTCGTTTTTCTGCGTTATTATACAGATATGTACTCTATCATACATTTCCCTTCGAAACCTTTTTCCAATCAAATCCTTCGAAACACGTTCTTCGATCGATCGTAAAGCAGACATGATTTTTATAGCCGGTTTATCGCGTCTAATAATATCTGACTCGTATATTTTGATAGGCATGGCATTATAAATATCGCGGCTTTATTGGCTTTGTATCGAGATATCGCTCTTACGCGGGGACTTGTATACCTGTCTATCTGTCTTTGTCAGAAGGCGAACGACCTGTGATAAATGTACACACGTGTTTTTATTGCGGATAATTACATAACTATATTCTTACATGCTTATTACTTGTTCTCGAACTTCTTACGAAATCTAATAGTAATATATTTTTTTTTTTCGCCATATCTTATATGAATGGATTCTAAAGATTATAAAAACTCATTGAAGTATAATCGAACATATCATTACAGAATGCAATAGAGATATAAAATATAATTCTATTTACAATATTGTTTTTAAGATAAAAGCATTTGATTTATATTAGATAAAAATGTATAGTAATGTTAAATAAATGTTAAATATTACGACAAAAAAGAAATTAATTTCTTATTAGAAAAAATTTTATTCAAATTATATAAAACAATTTCAAATCCAAAGTATTTCATAATAATCTTCTTTATTTCTCTCTTTATCTATCTCTCTCTCTCTTTCTTTCTCTCCTTAGTTAATGAGGATAGGACCAGGGTGTTTTATAGACGGGGTACATGTAACTCGAACAGCTCCGACAAATATTGATTATTTCTCTATATGGCACCCTCGAGTCTAGGCAGGATCTACACTCAAATATATTGAAACAACACGCGATATTTCTTCGATATAAACGACAATTAAGAAAATAGATTTTTTTAGAGGATTATTATTTCATTTCTTATCATTGTACAATGTGTTGAATTGACACGCGGAATCTTTTTAGCACAAGGTTGAAATATGCCGGAGGAACAGAAGTCTGCTGGTGGTCAACCAGAAGTAACAGCAGAAAATGGAACCGATACAAACTCGCCAACGAAAAGTCCAGTCAGCAAAGGCAAAACAGCTCTTGCAAGGATTACATTGTTGGATGGAACAGTGAAAGATTTTCATATAGATGTAAATTAACAATTTTTGTTTTCGTTTTATCAAAAAAATATAATATGTATTGGTTTAACGAAATTGCATGAAAAATTGATTTTGTTTCAGAGAAAGGCAAAAGGCCAAGAGTTACTTGATATGATATGTCAAAGTATGAATTTAATGGAAAAAGATTATTTTGGTCTTATTTACGAGGATAGGCACGATTCACGAAATTGGTTAGATTTGGATAAAAGAATTGCAAAATTTATAAAAAGTACATAGACATTTTCTTTCTTTCGATATATACATTATGTAATCATTGTTAGAATTAATTATTGATTTTACAGATGATTTTTGACTTTTGCAGACGAACCATGGAAATTTAATTTCGAGGTGAAATTTTATCCACCGGATCCGGCCCAATTACAAGAAGATATAACTCGTTACCAACTATGCCTTCAAATAAGAAATGATATTATCACAGGACGATTGCCATGTTCTTTTGTAACTCACGCTCTTCTAGGTTCATATTTAGTTCAATCAGAAGTCGGAGATTATGATCCAGAAGAACATGGCCGCACATATTTAAAGGATTTCAAATTTGCTCCTAATCAAACTCCAGAGTTAGTGGAGAAAGTAATGGATCTGCATAAAACACATAAGTTAGTTTCGTTTATTAGTTAATTAATTATATTATTACATTATTATATAATTAATTATGTAATATTGTAATTATTGGGTAAAGAATAATAAAAAATTTTTGTATATTTATAGAGGTCAAACACCCGCAGAAGCGGAACTTCACTATCTCGAAAATGCAAAAAAATTAGCAATGTATGGAGTTGATCTTCATCCTGCTAAAGACTCTGAAGGTGTTGATATAATGTTAGGTGTATGTTCATCTGGACTTCTCGTCTATAGGGATCGACTGAGAATCAACAGGTTTGCTTGGCCAAAGATATTAAAAATCTCGTACAAAAGGCATAATTTTTATATAAAGATCAGACCAGGTGAATTTGAACAATTTGAATCGACAATTGGTTTTAAATTAGCAAATCATAGAGCTGCAAAAAAATTATGGAAAGTATGTGTAGAACACCATACTTTCTTCAGGTAAATAATTATTTAATAATTATTTTAATTTGCAAAATAAAATGATATAAATTGATATAAAATAATATATATTTATTTATTTATTTATTTAATTTTTTAGGCTCATGAGTCCTGAGCCTGTAAAAAAAGTAGGTTTATTACCACATTTGGGATCTCGTTTCCGATATTCAGGTAGAACTCATTACGAAACGAAGAAGACTCCCATTGACAGACAACCTCCACAATTTGAAAGATCTTTAAGTGGTCGTCGTCCTACATCTCGTAGTATGGATGGTAAAAATATTTTTTGATATTTATTTTTTATTTTAGTTACTATATATACCAAGTGCTCTTTTGATACCGCTATTGCAAAGTTATCACATTGAGATTTTGAAAGGTATGTGTGCATTATACAGCATTAGGAGGTCCTAAACAAGTTGAATCTTATGGTTCAGAACCAAGTAAGAGGCATACAATGAGCTATGAACCTGAAATGATTCCTGATATGGAGCATATAGATCAACGGCCTAGTCCAATTAAAAAACAAAAAGAAAAGGTAAAAAAAATATTCTTACATATACCGAAAATAGTAATAGTTAGTAGAAGATGCATGAAATCGTCATGCAAATTGAAAATTATTCCATAAAAATCATTTTAAAGGAAATATTTCTGCGGTCTACGCTTTCAAATAAAACTTTTTTTTAAAATTTTGATAATATAACAATAAATTCAACTAATATAAATATTCTTGTTATTATCATAACTTTTTAAATACTACTGGAATGATAATTATATTATGAAAGGGAGAAATTGTAGAACACCAATTGGTTCACTTAAAAGCAAAAAATAATATATTTTATACAAAATCCAAGTTAATCATTATGCACTATTGTTTTAAATTAAACAGACAAATTTGTAGTCATGGCATGTTGATAAGTTTTCGTATGCCATGTATTAGATATAGTAGAATGCATTAGTCATTTTAATACATTTATTCCAAAATCATAAAAATGAATTAAATAATGTACATACAAGTTAATTAACATTAATTAAAAATCATATATAAAATTTGAAAATTTATTTGACAATTACAAATTAATAATCTTCTCTATTAATCTATATAATATTTGGTTAATTGACTTGTATATATTTATACAGACTTGAAATTTATTTTTTTGCAAGAAATTTAGATATTTATAGATTTTATAAAATTTTATCTTATAACTATTACCAAAAAATTGAACATGGCATTTGTATGTAATAATTTAATTTCACAAATTTGAATTCAATATTCACATCCTAGTGCTTCAACCATAAAAACTAACTGACACCTAACTAACACCGGTAGCTCACACGCAAAACAAGTGCTGGAACAACATCAGCTAGCAGTACCAGTAGCCTGGAAGGAGAATATGATGCAGATCGTGGCAAAAAGGTATAGAATTTCACCTGGAACTATCATGCATTAACCAACATATATCTATCTATATTAATGTATGTGACCATTTGGTGTTTTCCTTTTTTTCGATGCATGCTGCTATTTTTTATTTTTTTTTTTGCGAACATTATACGGCCATCGCCTCAAAGATGAATTCTCAAATTTTTTAAAATTTTATTATGCTATTTAATTGCATTAATGCTTATGTTCGCATGCACATAATAATATTACATGTTAAAAAAAGATTTAAAGAAATATACTATACTTACAAGTAAATTTTGTAGATAAAAATAAAAAAATATTTATTTAACAAAATAATAATTAATATTTTTTTGAGAGCGCAGACCGTAATTAATTATCTAGCATGAAATATATGTCAAGAGAATGTAAAACATATAGTTAATAATAGCATAGCAATAGAGTTGAATCGTGCTTTGCATGAAGCAATGTGTGATTATGAATTTACTTATAGAAACCGGTCGGAGGAATTGCGGTCCTACCGCCCGGTGGTCTATTTAAGAAGAAAAAGGATAAACAAAATGAAAACGAAAAAGAAAACCATAATGATCTAAATAATTCCGATTTAATAAATGAAAGTGCTATTCTTGATAATAATGATATAAAATCTAGTAAAAAAGAGCTTAAAAAAAAAGAAAAGGAAATGATAGAAAAGAATATTATCCTTGAAAACAATGACAAGATAAAGTCACCTAGTAAAAAAGAATTAAAAAAAAAAGAAAAGGAAATGGCAGAAAAAACTGCTATTCTTGATAATAATGATATAAAATCGCCCAGTAAAAAAGAATTAAAAAAAAAAGAAAAAGAAATGGCAGAAAAAATAGCTATTCTTGACAATGAAATAAAGTTAGTTAATAAAAAGGAATTGAAGAAGAAAGATAAAGAAGCATCAGAAAAAAAAGATAAAGAAGTATCAGAAAAAAAAGAAAAAGAAGTATCAGAAAAAAAAGAAAAAGAAGTATCTGAAAAAAAAGAAAAAGAAATATTAGATAAAAAAGAAAAAGAAATATTAGATAAAAAAGAAAAAGAAATATCAGATAAAAAAGAAAAAGAAAAGTTAGAGAAAAAAGATAAGGAAACATCAGCGAAAAAAGACAAGGAAATGTCAGAAAAAAAAGATAAGGAAACATCAGAAAAAAAAGATAAAGAAAAGAAAGACAAAATAAAGGTAAGTACGGAAGAATTATATTTATGTGATCTCATCGAAGGATAAACTATTTGTATAGCTGAATCATTCATGTAATAGGAGTTCATTGATTTGTCTTACTACCTATTTTTTGTTTAAATAATCAGATTCAGATAAGTAGATTTTTTAATATTTGCTTGTTTGTTTGCTTATAATAATATTTTGAACTTTATGATGTTAGAAGTAAATTTGTAAGAAAAATTATATAAATGTTATTAATTCATAAATTTCTGGAATTTTATTGATTTGAAAAAATTGAGTTTTTATATTACTTATGTTTTGTTCATCATAATTAATATTTCTTCAAATTTTACATAAATTACTTTTCATTTATATTTATATTATTATATTATTATTTATATTACTATTCATTTTATATTTTATTTATTTTATTGATATATATATCAAATAATGAAATCAAAATATCAAGAAATGAAATCATTATTAAAACAAATTATAAATAATTTTTTCTCATTTTGTATTTATTTTTTATCATCTTTTTTGCAAAGATTTTAGAATATTGCTTTTTGTAATTAATATGTTTTTTATTGCTATCATTATATTGCTATCATTAGCAATTTATTACTACATTTTATTTCATATTTTATTATGTTAGCTTCCTTTGTTAATTTTAATTATTGTTTTTTTATTATTATATTTTTTATTTAGAAGCACGATTATTTGTATTTTAGCTCATAGAATACAAATTTCATATAACTGAAGTAATTTTTAATAAATTTAAAATATTCAATTAACATTTTAACTGATATGTAAATCATTGGTAATGTTATCTAAATTAATTTAAATTAAATAACAATTATACATTTTATGTCAAAATAAATAACACATAATATTTTATTAATATATAAACCAATATATTATACATATATTAGTACAAAGTTATGTATCAATAGTACTATATTAATATACAAACGATTCAGTTATATGAATTCTTTATTTCTGGATGAAATTATATAAATGAAATTTTATTGTAATTTCTATTCGCATTGTATGATTTTGGATAAGTAGTTTGAGTATACAACTTATTACATTATACTATTTTTTTAGTTTTTCCTTTCCATCCTTTTCATAATTTTATTTTCTTTTTTTAGTATAATTATATAAATATATCATTTTTAAAATCCAATTCCATTTGCTAAAATTTCCTGATTTTGATTTTTCATTCAATTCATCAATAAAGTAGTTATTTTATAGTTATTTCATTAATTCATTCAATTTTCAATAAAGTAATTATTCTATTATTAATATAAATTGCATATATAAAAAATTTAAATTTTTAATTAAATTTTTCATTAATTTTTTATTTTATATTTTATTATTATTACAATATAATAGTTATTTTACAATATCTTTTGTGATTATTTTGATTTAATAATTTATCATTAAATAATACCTTTTATTATTTTTGAATGATCTAAAAGTGATAAATTCAGTATATATATAATGAATATTTAAGTCAAGCTTGATTATTAATTAAAATCTTCTTATTATTATCCTATATATATATATATTATTGATATATTTTGCTCAATGATATGATGTCTTAATTTTTATAGTTTATTTAAATTAATAGATCTCATAAATTGGGATGAAATAACTAGTTGAGATGAGAAATTTTTAATCCTGAAGAAAATTTAATTTCTAGTTTTACTTTTTTATGATCATTTTATTATCTTCATTAAATATATAATTGAAAATACATGCGATTTTTCGATTTATAGCAGTGATTATCGATTTCGAACTTTAGATAATATGTCTTCTTTATACGAAAGTCCGTATGACACGAATAGACTTTTAATTGAAGAAATCATAAAAATGCATATAATTAAGCAATTCTTTTAGAATGTTTTTCATTTTTTTCATACATTAATCAAGATTGTCCTATTTGCTTTCCTAACATAGATAGATTTGATTCTGTGACATTGTTGTTCACTGATTCTTCTAGTTCTATATTATACTATACTATTTTAAAGGATATACGAGATGTATTAAAACCAATCTCTTCAAAAACGAAGAAAGTTTTATCTTCAAATACTACCCCAACAATAGTAAAAACAACAACCAAACAATCAGTAGTAAAGGATCAAGAAGGTGTGATACAAAATATAGAAGAAAAAGTGGAAGATCTTACTCCTGGGGGAACAGGCCAAGTAACTGTTTCTACACAAATTAATAAGGTGATATAACTTTCACAATTATCTGAGATTAATTGATTTAATGAGATTCATTAAAATAAATATATAATAATATAATTGTTTCACTAATTTTAAAAAGTATAAGAAAAAAATATTAAACATTCTAACCATTTTTGCATTCCATTTAAAAACTTAAAATTCAAAGTATTCATTAATCTTTTTATATTTTTTCTTTTTTTTTTTTTTTAATTCAATTCCTTTTTATTTAATTTTATTTTGTATTTTTTTAATTAATATACACTATCCATATCCTTTTGAAAAATTTTTTATTAATTCCAACTTATTACATTATTTAAATATTGATATATTGAAATATAATTTATTAAGTAGTTTTATGATATGTATTGTAGATTGTAGATTATATAATTTTTAGCTATTGAGTATTGCATGTAGCAAATGTGACATTAATGTAAGTGGCAATGATTTCTATATAAACAAATTTTTGATCATTTTGAAATTAAATACTTAAAAAAATAACATCAAATTCTTGCATTTATTGTAATTTTGTATATATATGTTGCTGCTTTATTATAAGATCTTAGTTACCTTGTAGTTGTATTTAGGCAGAGACATCAGATGATGGTAGAGCTCCATACATGACAGCAACTGCTGTTACTACACGTACTGCTACAATGCACGAGGATCTTGAAAAAAATCAAAAAACCAGTCAGGTTTGTAATATTATTACAAGTTTCTCTTTTTCACAAAATTTCACATTAAATATTTTCTTAATTATAATTTTATTTTATTTATTCATACAAATATTTTTAATTTTTTTATATATATTCTCTACATTATATTTTCCTATAAAGTTAGAATTATTTTTTTATATTTTTTTTTATATTAGGTAGAGGAAAAAACTGTAGCACATACAACAGCAACCAGTGCAACAAGACAAGAACAAAGAGTAGTAACTCAAGAAGTTCGAACAACAAGTCATGTACTTTCTGGTGAACAGGTAATAATTTAGTTTAAATATATGCCAAGCCACTAATGGATGAAGCATGTAGCATTTATGTAAATCACATATTGTGTTTTTGATCTTAACATTAAATCATTAGAATATTTCATGCTAGTACAATCATTGCACATATATAAATAATTTTCTTTAATATTGATGGAAATTCATGTAACATTATGAAGCTTTTGGTTTTATAGCATCTTAATTCTGACATTTTTTGTACAATATACATATAAATATGGAATAAAAATAAGATCATATGCACATTCAGTATGTATATCACAATATCATTTATTTAAATGAAGGGATCACAATTTACATGTACATGAATAAAACTTAATTCATTCAGGATATTGGTTGATTAATAAAATTTAATTAGTGCTATTTTTCATTTAAATTATTTTTTTTTTTATTTTTGTAATTAATTTTCTCGGCTTGGTTAACACAATGCATGGTGTAGCTGTTCTCACGAAGGCTCAGTACATCCAGTTCAAGCAGTGATGATTCAGGTACTCCAATTGACCTTGAAGATGATCAGCAGGCTTTCTACAATCAATATTATCAGGTAATTTTTAGGGTTGTTATAATAAATTAAAAGTTATATTCTCTTAGAAACAAGATTTTGAGAATTTAAAGAATTTAGTTCTGAGGATAAATCTTCATCAAGGTATATGTTTAAATATATTTACTGTACAAAAAACATTTCTAAAACAATAAAATTTTAAAATAATCTAAAAATTCTTGTAATAATGACTTATAATGTTAATATTGTTATTTATATTAGAATACATAAGATGTATCAAATATTTTTAATTGATACCTTCTTTAATACTCATTTCTTAATATTCAAAAGGACATAAAAAATAACATTCAATCATTGTAGAAAACTTCATTTACTTAATTTACTTATTATTAATTATATACAAAGACCCTGGTTTTGAGGTATTAATTATTAATTTGTAAGAATAACATAATGTTTATAATACTTTAACAAGGAATTAATGCTTTGGTTCTTTGTATTATTTAACATATTTATAGTTATATATATAATAATTTATATATATATTAATAATATATATTATAATTTATAAAATTATAAATAATAATAATATATAATTATAACTGTACAGTATCAATTCAACATATTATATATAACTGAATGTTTTATAAAAATTTTTTCTGAAAAATAAAATATTATTATATAAATTTAAATTCAGGGTGATCCAGCTGGTGTTATTGAAACTGAAACACATATTTATAAAGGAGAACCAGAGAGTAATGTAACAACAACTACTACAGTTCCACTAGTAGCAACTGAAACTAGAAAAGTAGCCGTTGAAAGTGAAGATGGTATGTACAGTGCAACTGGAGAAATAGTTAGTTCTCAGACAATATCTAGTAAAACTCGTACTGTTGAAACGATAACGGTAAGATTTCGAATTTTATAATTATTAATTTTTAATATACTATAATATGGTTATAATATGATTATAGCTATAATATAATTAAATGCATATATTATAATATTTTTAGTATAAAACTGAAAGAGATGGAGTTGTGGAAACTCGTGTAGAACAAAAAATTACAATACAATCAGATGGTGATCCAATTGATCATGATAGAGCTTTAGCAGAAGCAATTCAAGAGGCAACAGCAATGAATCCTGATATGACAGTAGAAAAAATAGAAATTCAACAGCAAACAGCGCAGTAAAGTAACTGGTCAAAAATTACTTTTGTAAGAAATAAAGGGCACTCTTTGTCTAAAAGACTTATAATTCTAAAAAAGAATAAAATAAAAAATTAAATTGATATGCATTTAAATAATGTATAATAAATGATTTAACTTAGTTTTACTATCATCAAAATTCATTATCATAAATAATTTGCCAAAATAAAGGCAATAAAAAAATAACATTTGCATTTAATAATTAAAATGTATTTCTTATAATAAAT